TTAATTGTGCACTGGGGGGGTCCCTCAGCCCAGCCTGTGCCCTCTCGCAGTCTGGGACCCCTTGGGGATGTCCACCTGATGGCTTAGGCCCACTCCCCAGCAATCAGACATACCTCTGGAAGCCCGGGAGCCCTCAGGGGATGTCCACTTGCCAGCAGAGAGCAGGCCTAAGCTGCAGTCGGACATCCTTAGTGTTGCTGAGTAGGCGGGAGAGGCTCCCACCACCACCGCTGTACTGGCAGCCATCAGCCTGGCTTGTGGCTGAGCAGAGCTCCCCATGTGGGAGCGCACTGACCACCAGGGGGTAGCTCCTGCATTGAGCATCTGCCCCCTGGTGGTCAGTGTGTGTCATAGTGACCAGTCATTCCCAGTCTTTCTGCTGTTAGGGTCAATTTGCATATTACCCTTTTATTATATAGGATAGAGGCCTGGTGCACGGGAGGGGGCTGGCTGGTTTGCCCTGAAGGGTGTCCTGGATCAGGGTGGGGGTCCCGCTGGGGTGCCTAGCCAGTCTGGGTGAGGGGCTGAGGGCCGTTTTCAGGCTGGCCACACCCCCTTCAGGGAGGGGGTCCTCACTGGGGTGCCTGGCCAGCCTGGGTGAGGGGCTGATGGCTGTTTGCAGGCTGGCCACAGCCCCTTCAGGATGGGGGGGGGTTCCCACTGGGGTGCCTGTCTAGCCTGGGTGAGGGGCTGAGGGCCATTTTCAGGCTGGCCACACCCCTTCAGGGTGGGGTTCCCCACTGGATTACCTGACCAGCTGGGTGAGGGGCTGATGGCTGTTTGCAGGCTGGTCAAGCCCCCCAGTGAGGACCCTCACCCCATGGGGGTTGGGCCAGCCTGGGTGAATGGCTGAGGGCTGTTTTCATGCTGGCCACAGCCTCTTCAGGGTGGGGAGCTCTACTGGGGTGCCTGGGTGAGGGGCTGATGGCCGTTTTCAGGCTGGCCACAGCCATGGGCTGGAAGCAAGCATCTGGGGCTTATTTATCTTCTATAATTGAAACTTTGTAGCCTTGAGTGAAGCTCAAGGCCAGCAGGGCAGGCGGGAAGCTTGGCTTCTTCCATTGCTGGGGACAACCCAAGCCTCCTGCTCGCTCCAGCTCTGTGACTGCTGCCATCTTAGTTGGGTTAATTTGCATATTCACTCCTGATTGGCTTGTGGGCGTGACTTTTGGGTGTAGCAGAGGTACGATCAATTTGTATGTTTCTCTTTTATTAGATTATATATATATCCTATATAATAAAAGGGTAATATGCAAAGTGACTGAACGGTGAAACGACCTGTCTCTATGATGCGCACTGACCACCAGGGGGTAGACACTCAATGCAGGAACTGCCCCCTGGTGGTCAGTGTGCTCCCACAGTGGGGAGTGCCGCTCACCCAGAAGCTGGGTTCACGGCTGATGAGCACAGCGGCGGTGGCGGGAGCCTCTCCCTTCTCAGCAGCAGCACTAAGGATGTCCAACTGCTGGCTTAGGCCCTCTCCCCGTAGAGAGCGGGCCTAAGCCATCAGTTTGACATCCCCCAAGTCTCCTGGACTGCTGAATGGCACAGACTGGGCTGAGCGGACCCCTCCCCTTGAGTGCACGAATGTTGTGCACTGGGCCTCTAGTATGAAATATGACAGTATACCTCAAAAGGCTTGGACTGTACTGGTGAAGAGATGCACAATAATGTTTAACAAAGTACACCCAAGTGCAAATACAGGTACAACTTCTCTTGCCCAGGGCTAAAATACAAATATTATATAGTAGCTTAGGGCCAGTTCAGTTTCCCTTTTCTCCTTTTTCTTGTAAGTGGAAAATTTGTGATGCCAAGACCTCTACAGCTTATACCACCCACCCAGGGAAACAGAGGCCCAAAGAAGGTCTGCCGGGAAAACCCAGAAGTAAACTGGTTTAGCTCTCTCTACGGAGAAGCCGTTTGACAAAGATCTCTCGAAAAGCAGCGTCACCTGTAGCATCACGGCCACCAAGCCAATCTCCCAGGAGTGAGGGAGGGAAGATTTACCCTTTAAAAATGGAAATAGAGAGAAAGCATTGCAAGGACTGGAACCACAGCGAATGTCCACCTGCTCTCCCTACACTGCCTTCGGTGAGTGTGTCCAGGAAGACTTTCCCCTACGAGTGTGCCTTCCTTGATGAAAGCCTTTATTCCTACTAAAGAAGTACCTCTGGGCGCATGGGGTTTTGTTACCTGGTAGGATGAAGAGAATGAGGTTTGCACCGAGCCACCACGAACGAAATGAGATTTGTGCCCCATTTTTACTGAGGCCATCATGTAACATTCCACTTTTCCTAAAATCACCGACATGTCTATACTGATTTTTAAAATGTGACTACAGCTTTTCAGCATTTGTTGACTCCATGACCTTGTTTCGAAGCTCAACCCCAACCAGTTAAATAACCGATTCTAAATTAGATAGGTAGGGAAAAAAAGATGGCCTTTATATTGGATCCTTGAGTCTACACTGAATGATGCCTCCATCCAAAACCAATATCCAGCCCTGGCCGGTTTGGCTCAGTGGATGGAGCGTCGCCCTGCGGACTCAGGGGTCCCAGGTTCGATTCTGGTCAGGGGCGTGTGCCTTGGTTGCGGGCACATCCCCAGTGGGGAATGTGCAGGAGGCAGCTGATAGATGTTTCACTCTCATCGATGTTTCTGACTCTCTATCCCTCTCCCTTCCTCTCTGTGGAAAATCAATAAAATATATTTAAAAAAAATAAAAAAATAAAACCAATATCCACGTAAGACACAAGAGAATCGCAAAACAGTTCCAACTCCCATAAACAGCCCTGTTTTTAATCTGTTGCCTACAATATACCAATGAGAAAAATCATAGTATCGTGTCATAAACAGCTATGCAAATGATGCTATTTGTAAGTATTAACATAATTTAGTGCTTACAGTCATAATCTCATTTCTAATAATTCTCCCAGAATGGAGTCTTTCTCTGGACTCTTAGCCTGCAGGATAGTCTTTCATCAAGAAGCTGAAATTTTTAATAACCTGCCAGCATATGTTTTGTATGTGCCGGGCTAGGCTTGATGACACAATATCTTCATTATGAAAAGAAACAGGTCCACAAACTGTAATAGGACATTAAAACATGCCTGTGCTCATAAAGTAATGCTTTGATGTCTAAATGTGCACCATTATGATGGTCTTCTGGAACAAAGGGTAATTCTGATCCTAAATCCTCAATAGCTACACTCATTGGAGATTGCAGTTCACTTCCAGTCTGGGTACAATTTCACTTTGAAGGCAAAAGAATGTCAATAATTTCCCCCCGCCCCACCCCCCAAAAAAGCTCTTCAGAGCTGCTTTATTTTTATTTTTATTTTTGGCTTCTAACCAAAATGACCATGGCTAAGCACAGGTTTCAAAGATTAAAAAGATTTCTGAATAATTATTTTTTCCTTATTAAGTTAAAAAAAGATTTCAATAGATTATTAATTATTCAAGATTTTCACATTTAATAACATTCATGATAATGCCAAAAGTGGTTGGTGACAATTTAAAATGGTATAGTTTAAAATAATTGAAAGTAAATAATGTATAGTTAGGCTTCCAAGTGCAATTCAGCCAGTGTCAATATGTTAAATATTTTTTAAACCTAAAGTCAAATATTTTAAATTTATCATTGTCTAGTTTCAGGAGAATTAAAAAAATATATATTGGTTTGAAATATTAAGACCAGCCCACTAACATTTCAATTTTGTAAATGAAAAAGTCATATTTTCATCATTGACTCTCCACAGTTTTGCTTTAAAAAGAAAACACTATACAATATGAAGTAAAATCCAGTTCAAAGAGAACCCTCTATGGGCCTCAAAATTAAATACATTTTCCTTGTTTTATTTTTTTCCTAGGAGAGTAATTCACTTTGGTACCCTTTAAATAATATGTAAAAAGCTGGCCATGACAGGTACTGCATTTAGTCCATTCTTGACGGAGGGGGAGAAAAGCCCAGGGTAGATCATGGGGAGAACAGACACATTTGTCAAAGGGAACTCTCTCTTCTGACTGTTCTCTAGATTTATTCGTTGTTTCACTTTCGCAAGAATAATGCGGCTCTCTCTGGAGTGCCCCTCCCTCCCTATCACTTGTGTTTTGATTCATAGACTTCTGCAGTGGGGTGCTCAGAGGAGATGCAAATCACTGCGCAGCCCACTGTTAAGCACGTCGGCAGGGAAGGAATCGGTGCAGGGAATTTACGTCGGAATTTTCCTCATCAGTTATGCTGTCACGAGCAGGTCAGCCAAGACAGGGATTTGGGGTTAAGAGAAGCCAGGCTAGTCTAGACTCTGGATGCAAAGTGAGGCAGCGTTTAGAATGGTGGGTTTAATTTATATAGTAAGCCATATAAGATAACGTTCATTATTAAGCAAGTTTGGAACGGACTAAGAAGTTGTACAATTCATCCTTCCACCAACATACATGGAAAGTTCTCTACACAACCACTTATATGCTAAGATTTCTTGCCTATTGTTTGGCTTTGGCCTGGAGATTTTCTGGGTAGTTGGTACTATTTTCTCAACAGGGGCCAGCAGTTACACAAATTTCCTTGAATTGACTTCAGAAACATATGACTGCTGATAGAATGCTATTATACATTAGCTTCCAGGTGACAACCACTTACTAATAGAATTTCCCTCTCATAATAAATGTCAGTTGTTAGAAGCATATGATCAGACCCACTTAGAGTGAATGATGAGACTTGTAATGTTACCTGAATATGATTTAAAAAAAATACTTCCTAATAATCATAATCAATTTGAAGACATGAATGAAGACTTTTAGGGCCCAATGAAAGGACATTTAAAATAACCTAATCAACCCCATTGCCTCAGAAAGGTAAAATGATTTGCCCAAGGTCTCACTGCTGGCAGGTGACACTGCCCAACCTTGAAGAAAGTGCCTTCCCCTCCTTGCTGAGCCTTTTGCTTCATCTCCTAACAATACACAGACGCTGTGGATTTATGTCACCATTGAATACTCACCTGTGCCCATTTCTTGCGCCAGTCTTCACGGCTGTATTTGTTATACTCCATTAGGAGCCAGTCACGGCACTGGAGGTGGGAAAGAATGTCACAAAACGCAGTCCCATTTCCTCCAAATTCATAGTCCATTTTAAAGAGCCAGCGTTGGATTTCCGGGTAATCGAGGATCAGCTGAGTCAGCTGTTCTATCATCTGTGGGGATGAAGACGTGGCAACATTTAAGGTAGCTGGTGTCCTGGATTCCTTTGTACTGTATTAACTCAGTTGTATTTTTCAAGTGTCTTTATTTCAAATGGTCTGTTCATTACGTTATCCTCTAGTTTTTAAGACAGACTGGAAGAAGTTTTAAATGATGTAGAGATGATGTGAAGAAACCACTAACCAATGGGACTAAAGGCACGTTTAAAAGTATAGTCCTATTTATGAGAAACTGAAATTATCATTTGCCTGCTTTTCAAAGCAAAATAAAAAATTGAATTTTGGTATTGTTTTCTTTCCTTTTCAGAGAATTGTGTGTTTCCTTATTGATTCTTCAAATGATTTTTTTATAGTTTCAAGACTATAAAGATTTATAGTCTTGAAAACTTTATTTGGTGCTTTGTTGAGCTTTTAAATGTTATAACCCAGTGGTCGGCAAACCGCGGCTCGTGAGCCACATGCGGCTCTTTGGCCCCATGAGTGTGGCTCTTCCACAAAATACCACGTGCAGGCGCCCACGTACAGTGAGACTGAAACTTCGTGGCCCATGCGCAGAAGTCGGTTTTCAGCATGGGCAAGTCTATTTTGAAGAAGTACTGTTGATATTTGGCTCTGTTGATTAATGAGTTTGCCGACCACTGAGATAGATGAAACAAGTATACAAGACGAGTGTGGATGGGAGAGTTGGAAGGGGTTGACCTCAGCGAAGATACCTCAATCAGATTGAGGATGTTTTTAGCAAAGGCCAGCTTAGGAGTACCCTAATTAAGTTAATAACAATATACCTACCTGTATAGTTTAAGTTTAAAAAATTTGGCTCTCAAAAGAAATTTCAATCGTTGTACTGTTGATATTTGGCTCCGTTGACTAATGAATTTGCCGACCACTGTTATAACCCATAAAACATTTAACATTTTCCTCATTAACATACATGAAATGCATTTGTTTGGCTGGTCAATTGGCCAAGTGCATTATATAACATGTATTATATGAACACGAGCGGTAAAGGAGATAAAACGTTCATGGAAGCAATGTTCCTGGAATACACACCAATCCTATTTAACACGGTACTCCCTCAGGAACTGGGCTCCATCACATGGAAGTTTAAGGGGTAAAAGTGCAAGCTCTAATATCATGGTGATAATAATGATGCTATCTAACATTGCTGAACTCTCAGCAGGAGCCAGGCCTTTGACTAAGCTCTCTACATGAGTTTATTTTTAAATTGAATACTCACAACCTCTGAGGCAGGCACCGTGTTTAGTTTCATTTCATATGTAAATAACTGAGGGCCCGCAAATTTGAATAACAGGCCCACAATCACACAGAACTGAGCGGCAGAGCAGACTCCGCCCAGGCTGCCCTGACTCCAACGCCTAAGCTCATTCTCTCGCCACTGGGCTGCCTAGCTCAGCCTGCGGAGAGGAGGAGGAGCGGTGGGTGGAGGGAGAAGTTAAAAGAGAAGCAACGTTCCTTCCCACCAATAGCCATTTGGGATAAGTTTTAGTCAGACAGAAGTCTAAAGCAATATTATTTAATTATAAGTCATACTGTTCTAGTAGGGCCTTGGAGAAAAATAACTCACTAAGTCACAAAATGATGTGTGTGTGTGTTTTGTCTTCTCATCAGACTTTCCAGGGTACTTGTATACTTCTCCAAAAGAAGCAAAGCATTACTAAGCATTTGCTTTGATGAGCCTACCCACTGCTGTACTTGGCTATGGTCCCTTATACTTAAGGAGGTCTCTGCAACATTCTGTTTTTATTTATTGATGAGAGAGAGAGAGAGAGAGAGAGAGAGAGAGAGAGAGAGAGAGAGAGACATCAATTTGTTGTTCCACTTATTTATGTATTCACTAGAGAGGCCCGATGCACAAAATTCATGCAAGAGTATAGGCCTTCCTTCCCCTGGCTGTTGGCACCGGCTTCCCGCTGGCACCCAGGACCTAGGCTTCCCTCCCGCCCCTGCTTTGTCTAGAAGGACATCCGGAATGATGACCAGTCTAATTAGCATATTACGCTTTTATTATTATAGATTGGTTTCTTGTATATTCCTCGACTGGGAATCAAACTGACAGCCTCAGTGTGTTGGGATGACACCCTAACCCATCTGAGCTGCCCAGCGAGGCTGCAACACTCCTATTCTCTTCTCTTTGGATGATGTTTTGGTCACCGGATGGAATGTTTTTCAGCTAAAGTGTGTGAAAGGACTAAAGATTGTGGTTCTGCTGAAGTACAGAGCTGGAAGATTAAAATTATTTTGATTAAAGGTACAATCTGTTTTCTTGAGTTGTGTTTTTTTAGCTGCTCTTCCTGGGGATGTTACACTACCCAGCGGTGTGGAAGTGACATCAAAACGGGCATTCTTGGGATCCCTGGAAGCCCTGTGCAATCATGGGGTATTCAAATAGGGTGGACATGGAATTGTCTTAGTTCCCTAATTATCAAGTAGTGTCTGTGGATAATTTGGGTATTTAAATTACAAGTACTCTGGTCTACCCACCATGTAGCTATGAGCTTTGCCTATAAAGGTTTTTAAATGAACCTTTCAAAGTTACATCCCTTCTTTCTCTGGTATTGTGTTGAGAAGATAGATTCTATATTTCATCATATTTAGCTGTATTATGATCATACTTTGCAGAAGTAGAAATAGTCTTTGGTGAGTAATCTATAATAATAAAAGCATAATATGCTAATTAGGCTGGATGTCCTTCTGGACGACCTTCTGGACGAAGCCTGATGGTGGGGGCTGAGGCAGAGGCAGCCTTGGCGGTGGCGGGGGGCCGAACCCCTTGCACGAATTTCATGCATCGGGCCTCTAGCATTTTATAAAATTACTTTGCTGGTGTAAGAAAAGGTGTTCTGGCATAGCATTTTTATTGTATATTTGGAAATATTGTGTATTCAGAGACTCAACTACTAACAAAATTATCATCTGTTTCTTCCAAATCCTGTTATTTGTTGCTTCTGAGAGTCCTATAAATGGGCGTCTGTTGATGGATCCCCTACAGTATGAAAAGGATCAATAATATTGTAAAGACTGCACCATGGGAAAGAATTATGTGCTATCTTTAAGTGAAAATTGAACAGTGCTTTAAAATAGCGCCACTATTTTTGCTTATTTAACCAAAGCTGTCAATATTTCATATGGAGCATATGCCAGAAAAAGAACTTGCATGGTTACTTTATGGATCAAAACAGGACATGCTCACGGTGCTCACACTAGACTTAACTAAATAAATTACTTAATCATAAACCAAATGACTTTACACTCTTTCAGAACATTTATGATTCTTTGTTTGAGTTTATCTGTTCAAAAGATGTAATATAATTTTAAATTGCCATTCATTTTACACTGGTGTAGAGCAGAAGTAGAAAAATGACTACTGCTAAAATCCAACTGATAGTCAAGAATATTTATTAACCTAAATTAAGATGATCACAGCTTTCCTTCACCAGCTTTAAGTTTATGATGCACAGCGGTAAAAGTCAGTGCTATTGATTCATCGCCATCTGCGAATTCAAAATGCTGACACACTCAGATAGCTTAGGTAGGATAGTCAGTATCTGGAAAAATCTCAGTGGAGTACTTCAATTCTTGATGACCTCAGACATATGTTTTCCAAACAAGTAGAGTAGAACTCAGTTATAAGTCTGTTTAAGGTGATGCAATTTGCATGTGCCATAGGTGAAATGACATCCCTCAAATCTGATGTGTCTACAGGGAAGTTTTAAATCCTACTTCTGAACACCAGCACTAGAGGAAGGTTGTCCTGCATTGAATGTGCCTGCATCTTTAACCACATTTCATGGCAAAGACTGCCTGAGTTCTCAATCAGTGAAGATGAAATCAAGACTCCATACAACTATTGCACATACATTTTAGGGTTTTGGAAATTATTTAATGTAATGTACACTCTTCCCTTTATGGCTCCTTCCTGAGGGACCAAAGGATTTTTGTACTAGCGAAGGATGTCTGCAGCCCTCTGACATAGGCCCTCTGCCACCTGCCTTGACAGACAGGTGCCCCTCGTGGAGCTTTCCAAACTGCCTCCTTTGAGCTAAAATTGTCTTTCCCATTTCTCAGGGACCTGCTCAATGGATGGCTAGCTAATACGATGATGAACTAAATAATCCCTATCGAGGCAATCAATATTGATAGCACATTGGTGCACTAACAGGGTCTTCAATGTCTTAATCCAAATGAGTTAATATTTTTCAAGGACAATACTTTTAAACACGAAGTCCTAAAGTAGACCTAACAACTCAACTCAAGTATTCCACATAATCTCCACTGGGCAGGGCTGGCTCCAGAAGGCCTGAGGTCCCTGCAACTTCAAGAGGATGTGCTCTATTTGAATAGAGCCTCTCTTTTCCACCCCGCATACCTGCTGGTGACTAAAGATGTCAGATATTCCAGGAGGGAACGGCACATTGGCGCTGGCAAACATCTGTTTACTTCCAGACTTGGTGCTATAAAGATGAGTTATTTCAGGCTCTGGACCCAGGATGGGTACGTCTAACATATCTGCCACGGCCAGATCATCTTTGTGGAGGAACCCGCTGACAATGTAGGCATCTCGTCCACTGATGAGATTTTTTATTCTTTTGATTGCTTTGGGACTGTACTTCAGGTGAGTCGCCAGGCACATATGTTGCTTCTGGGGGAAGAGCATATCACTCTTGTTAAAAGGTGTTCTTTTTTTCTAGTCCATGCACCTAATTTATAATGTTGCACACCATAAATGCATTATTAATAGCAGGCTGGGTTATGACCTATCCTGTTGTTTAGCAGTTTAAATTGATAAAAGCTGTTGGGGTGAGGCTCTATAATCGCTCACATCTTTAGTGTGTGGGAAATAGGCTCACTGGGAATAGAACTAATTACTACACATCTGTATTTATTTGATCCACGTGGAATTATCCTTCTGTCAGAAGGAAAAGAGGCTGGCGGCCTTTGGATAATAGTGATTCATCTCTGCAGCACTTCTGGCCTGGTTTAACACTAAAGCGCCTGGAAAATCAATACCAAAAATGAAGAAAAACGTCCCATAGGATTCCTCTCTGTACAGGACTCCTAATCTGGCAACTCTTTAAATGATTCGGTAAGAAAAAGGCGTTTGGCTTGATACTTCCTTTCCAAAGCTCTGCCACAAAGTCTGTCTCAGAGACTATATACCTTTTATAATGACTATCCTGGTTCTTGGCCAATCACTTTGGAGAGGATTCATGAATGCAAAAGTATTTGAAAATTTCAGCAAGACTGAAGCTTTCATTTTAGTTTTGATTATTTAGACCCAGCTCAGCAATACATGCGACTGTCTCATTCAATTAAATAAATAATTCTGGCATGTCTAATAGGGGCTGAGGACAGAGCCAGATGGTCATCACACACCAAACGAATACAACCATGTTTCTGCATTCAAGGAGCGGGGGCACAAATGGGTACCGTTAATGCATAACTAATCAAAGCAGAGAAAAGCCATAAAGAGCTACAGAAGGCCCCGGAGGCATGGAGAAGGGAAGCAGAGGACACATGCTGATGGGGGGAGCTGAAAAGGCAAGTGACTCATTCTCCTGGGGCCTTAGTTTTTTCACCTGTAAAATGAGTATAATACTAGTACTCATCTCATAGGGATGCTGTAAGGTCTGAATGAGATAATGCATGTAAAGCACTTAGCACAGTGGTTTGGACACAATAAGCACTTAATGAATGGTAGCTACTACTATTATTAAGAAAGAGGTTGGGGTTGAGGTAAATTTTGAAGGATGGGTAGGTGAGGATAGGTGTGGGAAAGACATTAACCAAGGATGAACTATGAGAAGCCAAGATCATGCTCACTTCCTCTAGAGAAGGGCTGGGGTTAGGAGTCAAACAGTGCTGGCTTCGAATCTGTCTCTATCATTTATAAGCTACCTGAACTTGAGCAAGTTTGTAAGCTACCTGAACCTGAGCCTAAGTTTTGCCATCTGTTAAATGGGAATAAAAATACCCATTTGCTGGGTTGCTCTAAGGATAGAACAAGATCATGAAAGTAAACACCTATTATAATGCATGACATTGAGTTGCTATTCTATAAATGATAGTACTTATTATTACAGAGAAAACTCTCTTTTTAAAGTCATTAAAATGTCATGTAGAAAATATAATGCAAGTTGCCAGAGTGTTAGGGAGTTCAAGGAATTTTGTAGACTAGCACCTACTCCTCCAACTATAGTCAAAATTATCTACTCAACATGGCATGAAGATATGGAGAAACACTGAGCAACTATTTCTGGGAATATCAAACTGTTGTGGGTGTAATAACTGCTGAGTATGGGAGAAAGAGACCAAGGAGAGCCCTGGGATTTCAGTCTTGCCTGGATTTCTAACTTGCAAGGTGAATTAGAAAACTCCCCAATATTCAAATGAAAGGTTGGACTAGACTTCTCTAGGGTCCTTCCAGCTCTGCAATAACTTTTTCTTTAAAACCAGAGCTCTTCTGGACTTATCGCTTAATGGGTTCAGAATTTCTGCTTGGGATGTTGAAAGAGTTTTGAAAATGGATAATGCAATGATTGCCCAACAATGTGAATGTGCTGAATGCCACTGAAATGTACACTTAAAATGGTTAAAATGGTAAATTTTATGTTATGTATATTTTACTCCCTCTCTCTTCCTGCCCCCCCCCCCCCACACACACACACACAAAAGGAAAAAAACACAGAGCTCTTCTGAGAAGAGGATTTATTGATTTACCCTTCTGGGCCTTCCTTCAGAGTAGGTGTTGTAGTCTGCGTTCCTCAGATCTGTGCAACATGCCTTGTCTACCGTAACTGAAATCCATTTTCACAACCTACATCCGAGAGCGCAGTTCTAGGAAACCCAATGCTCCACTAGACAATGGCTGGTAACAGCACCTCATGAGTTTGTGTTTCCCATCTGGGTGATCCCTGTCTTCCCCCTTGTTTATTTCCTTCCTTTCCTTTCCCCACAAATAATTTCCACTGGGAAATGTGAAAATATGAAATGTGTGGGAGACCTGGTGACCGAGTCACAGTGTGCCTGGTGGCTTTGCAGGGTCCCTAAGAAGAGTGCTTCAGGGTGGCAGTGTGCTCATGTTAAGTTCACAAGGTCAAAGCACTTCGACATGTATGTTCTCATCTGATCCATACCACACCTTGCCAATTAGCATCCCCTCTGTTGGAGATGAGGAAACTGAGGCTCAAATGATTTGCCCAAAGTCACACAGCTGGTAAACAGCAGAGATAGGATTTAAACCCAGGTATTCGCACAGTTATTGTGCCACAGCAGCCAAATCTCTCCCCTTTCACAGACTGAGAAGTGAGGGTCTGGTGAGTTTATGAGGTGTGATGAGGGGAAGTCAGATGCAGCAATAGAAAGTAAACTTGAAGTTCTGAGCACTTCTCCAGCCAGGATGCATTTCTGTCTCCTCTTGGTTTGCTTATTTCCATTGGCAAGTACTCTACCCGACCTGTATCACAGTCATCTGTGGCAAGCCTTATTCTTCAGGCAAGATGGTGCCCTACTATCGTGTTCAATATGTGTTTAAGAAAGATATGAGTATGAATGAGTGGCAGAGTACACATTATTGACGGCAGATCTTGTATGACCATTAGATCCAGGCTGTGAATTAACGCAGCTTGAAAAATATAAAATATTCCGAATTCCATAGCATTAAAATTGCATTTAATTGATCACCACTGACTTTTTTTAACCTGAGACAAAAGGCATTTGTTGAGGATATCTTCATAAACATTAAAATGTTCAAAAATAGACACGACTTTATAATAGCACTCTGTACCATTACAAATCCAAACATTGTATAGTAACTTGGAGAGATGTACAAACAGATTTTTGGCACACTTTTTAAAAATCTCCTCAAAGCCATCCATTTGAATGAAAATCAGCACTGGTACAATCTCTCCAACCCATTAAAAAGAAATAAAGCAATAACTAAACATGAGCAGGAACTGAAGTGAGAACTTATTTTTTTTGTACTTGAAAATGTTGATTGCCTATGAGTGATTGCTCAAATAATTTAAACTTAAACTGTGAGAAGTATTAAAATTTACTTAAAATATTCCCTACTTGTTTCTACTCTCAACAATGCAAACCTGAATTCTGAACGAAACTCAGTGCACCTGCGAATGCTCACTGCCTCGTTCCTGCTTGAAAATCGGGGTGGGCTGGCTGACAAGGGTGCACTTCTCAGGTAATAGGATTATAGGGCTGAGAAGGACTTTGAAATGACCCAATTTGCCACCTCATTTTACAGACAAAGAACCAAGAACAGAGAGGCCAAGGGCTTGCCCAAGGCCACAAGATCCTCCAGCAGTAAAGCAGTCATTCCTGTTCATGACAGTGTTCTGGGGTCAGACAGCTTTAGGCTTGGACTCTGGCCACACTGGTAACTTGGCTTCCTCACCCTTGGAAGGAGATTGATCAGTTCTATCTTACTGCGTTGTTCTGAGAATCAAATGAGAACATGTATCTACGCCTTTGATATATGTTAGCTCGCTCACTTTCCTTCTCCCAAACTAGTGCCCCTTCCCCATGTGATGCCTCCTCAATGTATACGGGCATTTTAGATGCACAGAAACTCCTCATTAGCAGCTATCAGGAGAAACTCGGGAAATTAACTACATCCTCATGACAGTTTTTTCTTCCTTGCTTCCTAAAGCCCCTGCATCTCTGCCATTGAGGCCAGGGGACGGCTGGGAAGCACAAGGCAATCCCTGCATTGTTGTGGATATCCGTAGGCCCCTAAGAATGGTAGTGGTGATGATTTGTCCCCATCTTTTCTTTTGCTTGTCCTGGCCAGGATTTTGCTTTTCTCTTCCACAGCCCAGGGATGCCAATAAAGCAGAGATTTGGGGGGAACGTTAAGGTATCCAGTTATGAAAATTTAAAATCTTCATCTTGGTAGAAGAGAGCAAAATCTGATGACAATTCACTGAGTATTTCAGCAAAGCAGAAGTATTATAGCAACCCTCCCCGCCCTGGCAGGCCTTTTATGGGGGGAGTGGTAAAAATTATGGCGCATCCAAAGGGTTAAGGGGTAGGAAGTAACTCAACACATATATGCTTCCTACGTAAAGCTTGCAAGCAGTTTCTCTGGCAATAGATAGAGAGTTGACTTTGGTATATCCCACTGTTGAATGGAAAAAAAGCTATCTGTATTAGCAAATTCAGACTCTTGATTCACACACACACACACACACACACACACACACACACACACACAGGTCTCCTCAAAACTGCATAGTCCACTGGGTATTAAAATGTTGTTTGTTTAACATGGAAAGTTTAAATTATTGTTAAAATATAGCGAAGTTCATTCAAGCCATCTCGTGCGCTGCCTTGTTTTTGAACACTGCCCTCGGGGTTCCGTGCATTTCCCCAAAGCTCTAGTCTACAGATGGAATTTCACTCAGAATTCTTTCCATTCGTTAAAAATCAGAACAAGTTAACACAGACACACACACACACCCTGAGCCTTGTTCACTATGAACCATGGGATACGGTAAATAAGACCAAATTCCCCTGAGTGGGGGGTGAACCCAAAACCACGGATCTGAAGGAATGGCGGTGTGGAAGTCAGAACACAGGGCCCTGGCCTAGATTCTGCCCTGAACCAGCTTTGTGACCATGGGCAGGGCCAGCCTTTCTCTGCTTTGGTGTCCTCCACACACAATGAAAAAGAAACCGTGGATGTTATAAATTCACCTACTTGGTGGTACCGCCCAATAACCCCAATTAGGCTTCAGCTACAGAGAAACTGGAAGGGTTGCTCAACTACTGGTAAGTCTGAAAGTTAAACTGGGATATTTACTGCCTACAGTCCAACTAGTCGTCTAATCAGTAAAGCTGTTAAACTTGAAATAATATTTCACTGATGTGTACCAGAGCGTTGCAAGTTATAAAATTTCCAATTTAATTTTACTGCATCCCTGAAGCCGTGGTAATTAGAAGACAAACTCACAGTGAAGATCTTTATAGCTTCAGGGGTGATAATTTTGAACCTGTCCTGCAGGTCACTTCTGTCCTCAAGGTCCCCCGATTTGACAGCTGCCTGTAGACTCAGGATTTTATGGTAATACAGAAGTAACTCTTCATTCATTTGATGGGAGCAGATGTAGATGACGCTTACATTGGCATCTACAAACAACAGGCACAGTGTTAATTACTGGTATAAAGGTAAATGACATTATGAACTCTGGCATCGGATGGATGTGGCACAGTTTAACATAAAGAGCATATCCAAAGCCACACTGAAGTTAAGTCAGATCGGTTTTGTACAGATCTTAGCAGTGTAACAGGCTTTTGGGCGCTTTAACATTCCTCTAAAGAAAAGATATATTAACACTATCCCTCCTAAAATGGACACAATGATTCTTTCAGAAGGAAGGCTGTGAGGTACCATGGAAGTCTACTTTCAAATAATGCAGAGAGACTCAGCCCCAGAACTCCCATTAACATCAATGGGAATTGCATACTGCTTTAAAAATTTATCCCATTAGCTTCAGTAAATTATGAAACAGAGCTATTAACTTTAAAATGCTGATGAAATGGCAATTTCTTATTCTGCCTGGACTTGGCAAGGCCAATTCGGGAACTTTCCTTTCCAAATAAATCGTAAGATTATGACCACAGCAATGGTTATTTCAAGAGACCAACCTTTCCCCTGCTCCATTCCCAAAGAGGAGTAGATTAATTATGTAGGACATCTAGTGACTGTCGGTTTAAAGGAAACACTGTCTTCATTCAACTGTTCTCCTTCTTAAGATGTGCTTATGGACTTAGAAAGAAATCCTCATTAAATATCCCACCCAAATGGAAGTCAGGTGAGGTTACCCTCTCCAGGCTGCAAAATATTTCAAGGAGTATGGACAGGAAATCAGCAGCCAATAAAGTCAATTAATTAAATAATTAATTAATTAATGAAAATAACTGACCAGTAGGAGCAAAGCACTTGACAAGACATGGAGGGAAATACAGGAAGCAAAGCAATGGAGACGCTGGCCATGAGAAGCAACCCTTTCACCCACCCGACAGCCAAGAAGCATGGTGGAAAGCAGCAGGCACGAGGAAGCACGCCCACCCGGTGCTGGGGAAGTTCACAGGAGGGAGCTCTGTAAATGTGTCCTCGGGGAGGAAGGGCTGAGAAGGGATTTGGAGACTCCTCTGTTCGGTCTGGCAGAGGGCACAGAGCATAGACTGATTGAATTCTGGCTCAGCTGCCCAGGGACCCTGGATACATTATTTAACCTTTGTAAGCATCGGTTTCTTCATCTGTAAAATGGGGGATAAAATCACCGGGGGCACAGTTTTAGAGCGTATTAAATGAAAGAATACATGATATTCATAGTTATATACAGGGTGGGCAAAAGTAGGTCTACAGTTGTTTGCATGGAAAAAGGCATGCAGGTATAGCTTTATTAACTCTGTGTTTTGCATACTCACAACTATACACCCCCTTTTGCCAACCCTCGTATATATATGGCGCCCGGTGCCGTATCTGTCACACAGTAGGTGCGCAGCAGACAGTACAAACATCCTCCACGGCTTACCCTTCCTAGGCCAGCCACAGGTGCTCCCCGCGGCGCCCCTCACACCTGTGCTCCTTTTACTCAGTGCCTCAAGGTTTCACACGATGGAATCACATCCTCTGCTGTTCTGCCTTATTGATCTTGTCTTTCCAAACTCCTAAAAGGTAAGGTGCACACTCTTTCTTATATTGTCCCAAGTCCTGATACAGTATAGAGTGTGCAGGAGGCACTTACTAAGTACTTGTGGGTGGGCTGAAGGGATCTGGGAGACTGGAGAGATTCAGGGCCTGGAACATGTCACACAATCAGTGAGCTCCCTGGCATCTGGGAGACATGTCCCGCTCCTGAGACATCTGTGGCTAGAAGTAGAGTCCTCCGAACTGACCTGGTGCTCCATAAATGTAACTACGTGAGGGGCTCCTATTTAATTTGGGAACCCAAATGCCATAAACCTCAAAATAAACTAACTTAGGAGACAGTGGTAAAATTGCTGAATGATCAAACTAGTTGTTCCAAATCTTGTGCTTTTAAGACGAGACTAGTGTCTTACCAAACTAATGGTTTTAAAAACCACTAGTATTTTTTTTTAAGTATTGAAAAAGGACACAAAAACAAATAAAAATAACTTAAAGACTCCGTAACAGAAAACTAAATTTTCTTGGGAAAAAATTTCTAGGTTACAAATGATGACAAATCATGTTGCTAATTTCACCTTTCCTGTTCATTTCTGGCAAAGGAATACATATCATTAACACTAATATCCAGTATTAGTGTGGCTTGACTGTGAATCTATAAACATTCAAAATTGACAGGTAATTTTGGAAAGAAATTAATATGAAAATGAAGATTGCTTTGATTGCTAAGCAATAGTCAATATCAATCACTCTCTTGCTTAACTCATCTAGAAATTGAAAATACTAGTCGTTGCGTCTCCACCTGACATTCTGACTTCATGGCCAATACGTGAATGACAAGTCTTACCAACATGATCAATCAGATTATCTTTATTTCCCCTGAATAAACAGAAAAAAATCAATACCCTTTACTAGGAATTAATGGAATTAAAAAAAAGATACTCATGTAAATTACAGCATAAGGAATATATTCAATAATATGCATGGTGTCAGATGAGTACTAGAATTCGCAGGGTGATCCCTGCATAAGATATATAAATGTCTCATCACTGAGTTGTACACCTGAAACTAATATAACATAAAAATAGAATTTAAAAGATAGTAATTTATTCTTCCACAAGATTGTTGCTAATTTTCTTAGTTTCTTATTTCACAATCAAGTACCTTGTCTAACTACTCCTTGAGAGGTTTTAGGATTGCCTTCTGTGCCATGAAGATAGTGTAGCAAGAAAAGGCATTTGGTTCATAATCTCTCAGAAATGTCCATTAGCAATATTTCCCATTGCAGGTAGACCTACACAGAATTATTGGATTATTTAAAATAGAAGTTTAATACTTTCAAGTCTTTTCTAATAATGAGAATCTCTTGTAAAGAAATTCTTTGGCGATGGTTTGTGCTATATGAAAAGCTAAGAAAAAAATTAATTCAAATAAATTAGAGCAAAGTCTGCCCTCTGCTGCACTTCAGTGGTTTCCACCCGGTCAGGTTTTTAGTTGCAATAGCTCAGCACTAACAAATCAATCTCAAGTCATTAAATTTATTTTTGTAAGGCTGAAAAACAATATGAGTGCCTAGATAATAGATTAAAGCAATTATACTATTATTATTTTAGGACACTGTAAATTTCAAGTACGGATGTATTTTTGTTACTAAATGGCATTTATAAAATAATAATGATGCTGAAATATATGTGAAGCATGTAAAGTATGTCATTCCAGGGAGCCAGCTGAGTTGGTCATTGATAATTTAAAATCCTTCTTTGTTTTGCTTAAATAAGGGCCAAAGCAATTATATTTTTAACAAAACGAAGAAGTTTTTATTTGGTAACTAATAAAAAGCTAGTTTTTGTTTAACCCTGAATTTTGGCTAGTACATCCCAAACTGCTTCACTGTTATTGCTCGGCCTTTGCAGCCTTTATTCTTTAAGCCTGGCCAGCACCCGAGCTTTGAATGGTATCAGTCAAATTCTCGTACCCGTCACTCCTGGCTCCAGGTGGTGTCTGATTTGGAACTGACCAAATCAGTATTGGAACTTGACTTTTACAAAGGTGTATCTATCACTCAAGGTTTGTACTTAAGAATTTCCTCTATTAGGCATCCTCTGTTTTCTAATAACTAGATGCTATATATTAGATAAAATCTTTTAAAAATCTATCCTCATTTCCCTCTTATTCTTACAATGAAGACACAATGCTTTTAATTTCTGATACCACCTTCCACTCATTCCCCAGATAATATAATAGAGAATATTGGCACAAACATGGTTATTTCACTCCCTGCAAGAATTAATAAATGAAGAAGATATGGGGCTATAGGAGAGAAATACTTATCCAAACCTGCAGCAAAGAGAATTTAGAAAACTACCCAAGTAAATTGGTTAAAGATGTCATTTTTGAAATTCAAGTTGACTTCGCTATAAACCTGTCCTTTAAAACAAAACATTCAATTGCCCTGCAAGTAAATGAGAAATCTGAGCCTTTTACTTATAGAGAGAGGAAAAAAAGCAAAAACAAACAAAAGAAACCCCCTCAAAAACATTTTATCCCCACCCACTGATAAACATTCCAAAGAGTCATTGGTGTAAAAGTGTTTACTGTACCTATGATGTCACACAGCCGCCCCAACTGCATGTTCTGTTGAGTGTCGAAGTTGTCAATATTTTGTCGCACAGGCTGGGTATAACCTAAAAGGCAAACAAGGTGTCAAAACCCAGAAAGAGCGAATCAGGATGGCAACATGGCACACCCAGGATTCCAAATGTCACCGTTCACATTTCCAGGGAAGAGTTTTCTCTGGAGCATCTTGCAGAAACAGCCTCACTCCCAAGAGTGAGGTCCTCGCTTCCCAGGGGAGTAAGCATTATTCCGGGAGATGTGCTCAGCAGCACTTTCTGCGACAGACAGAGGTTTGTATTTTTCAATACCGGCCAGGCTGCTGGGAATCAGGGTTATGAAAACATGGGGAAATTTTCTGACATTTAACATGAATGTTCAAAACAACATGTAAAAAATTATGCTCAGGTTAAAACACACACACACAATTTTGGCTTTTTAACTTATGCTTCCTATGGGGCATTTTGAATATGTGTCCCAGGGTTATTCTAAACTGACACACAGATTTCAAGAGAAACCTCTTGCTGTCAGGAATATGTCTTTAAGTGAAAGAAACATGCTTCTGCTCACACAGTCAAAAGGACTTTTAACCTTTAAAGGGCAATAAAGGTTCTTGCGGTCAGTGCAGTATTTTATCAGTGCTAACGAAAGTCCTGCCAGTTGCCTTCGTGTCCAGTGGAAACAGAGCAGAAGGAAAACCGACGTGGGTTACTATTGTCCAAAAATCTTCCACAGCAACAGACAGCAGCAACAACACTTCCTGCTAATACGTCAGGGTTAAAAATATAAGTGTGTGAAAACATGAACTTTAAAGGCATGCATGCTCACAATCAGGTATAATGGCTTACACAAAATTCAACAACTGTAGGTGCAACTCATTTTTTTTTTTTATTCTCAATAAAATTGCTTTTCACATTTTGAAGAAATGCTTCAATGCCTCCTTGTGGTTAGTGAGCCCAAACACATGTTTCAAGTTAAACTGCCATAGATAAAGTGATTTTAAATACTGCATCTTTGAGATGGCACAGACTTCCTTTTCAGCGAAAGGAAAACTATAGCAATTCAGGCAACAGGGCTTCAGATCAAATGAACTCAGATAATTGGCTCCTTGCTTTGATGTCAGTGTTTAAACACTAGACGACGTCTGGAAATTAAATGAGTTTACAATTCCTCTGAAAGCCTCCCTTTGGCTTTATGCAGATAAACTAAAGAGGCAGAAAGCCAAATGGGTTGTTGGAATTATTTTTGAAAAATTATTAAATTCTAAAATAATTTGGGGAGCCATTCCATGGAATATGAAAATTAATATAGACAGCTACAAACAATGCTGTCTTGGTGTGTGGTTGCAATATTGTAACTTGGGATTTTGCATATGTATAATTTGAATAAATGTTTAGAAAGTGGCATCATGAATAACATACATTAAAACTATAAGAAGGCAGAAAAAAATGCCTAAAGAAATAAGGTGCTATTAAGAAAAGTGCCTGAGAGCATTCCATGAACACATTTCTTTTAGAAAGTAAAGATAAAAGGCAGTCTGATGTCTCATTAAGACGCTGTCCAATTTAAAATATAAAGGCTGTCCGGTCACTTTCTGCAGCACAGGAATGAATATATCTGTGTTTCAATCAAGTGCTTGAAGTTAGTTTTCCAACAAAGTATTTAGTACCTCTGTTACCACTGATCAAGGATGCATATAAAGTATCTACACAGAATTACGGGGTATGATAGAACTGGTTACTCCGTTAAACCTACAAATACACCCATTTTAAAGAACTGCATATCAACAATCTCAGAACATTGTTATAGAAGATCATATGAAGTAACAGATATGAAAACATTTTGCAAAGTGTAAAGTGCTGGGCAAACATAGGTATTTTAATGTTGTGAGGTATGTGCACTTCCAAAGCTTGTAAGAGCAACAACAAGTTCTGTGTATGTTGCAACAGACCACTCTACTTGGGCAAGATGCAATGCAATGCACAGTGCCATTGGCAGAGCAGATGTTGGGAGTCAATTTTTAAAAAAATCAGATTTATTCTTATGTTTTGTATATCCACAAAGTAGATGACTCCTAGGTGAAAAGACCTCATTAATGCTGATGGCATATATTAAATACAACAGAGACTTAACCAGGAAACTATCAGCAAGGATGCTCTGGCTTTGGGAACTTCAGCAGTTCCAGTGGCAATGAACCATCACAGTTTGGAATATAATCTACAAAGACGGGATACTTCAAAGGTCAGACTAGAAACGCTGGGGGAGTTTTGAGAACCCACTCCTCCTACCCCACCATGTTATAGATGGGGAAGCTCAGGGGAAGTGCCTTGTCTCTTGTCCAAGGTTGCATAAACCCACAAGTTATTATACAGTTCAGATACTACAGATTTAGCTCCTGTGACAAATGTGGTTACATAAAATAGAGAAAACAAGACTCTCCAAGTGTGAGCAGAGAACTACAGAAGGGACAAAGAGCCTTTGCCACTCTTAAGACTTATTTCCAATTTTGTAATGGGCAGAAGAATGACCCTTCAAAGATGCTCTTGTCCCCACCCCTGGAATCTGTGAATATGTTAGGTTACATGGTAAAGGGGAAAAAAAGTTGCAAATGCAATGAAGGCTGCTAATCAGCTGACATTAAAATAAGGAGATTGGCTGGGCCCAATGTCATCAAGGGTTCTTAAAAGTGGGAGACAGAGAGAGGAAGAAGAGTAGAGTTAGAGATGTGACTGCAGAAGAAAGGCACAGAGAGCTGCAATGTTGCTGGCTCTGAAGATGGAGGAAGGGGCCAAGGGCTTTTCTTGTTAATTCCTTTGTGGGTGGCTTCTAAAAGCTGGAAAGGATAAGGAAACAGATTATCTCATAGATCTCATAGAACCCTCCAAAAAGTAACACAGCCTGCCGACACCTTGATCTTAGCCTTTCGGGCTTCTGAACTACAGAACTGTAAGGTAATAAACTTGGGTTGTTTTAAGCCACTAAGCTTGTAGTAACTTGTTACAAGGTGATAGCAAACCAATATGACTTTCTACCTTCCCTTACCCTCCTGTATGCATCACCTCTCAGATATCTTGCTTCTCTTTCACTCTAACTGAAAGATGAGGAAGGGCCAAAATCCCCAATAAGAACTCATAATAAGCATTAGATAAGTGTTGTTGTTGCTGTTATTATCTTTTTTCTTTCTTAACTTCAGCTGAGCCAGATTGCAATTTTCAAAAGGAGCCTCATTTTTACAAACCTTACTCTTACAAACATAAAATTATATTTGAGCTATCAGAGTACAGTTCTTCTCGCTTATGCAGCTGATAGGCCCTCATCGCTGTCAAGTGTGTCGGAACACCCTTTTCTAAGAAGATTCTCAGTCTTCCCTCACAGTCACTCTCTTGCACCCTTTCTCTGCTATCCTTTTCTCATGTTGTCATTGTATGTTTCTTTGCTTGCTGGTTTATTGGTTGTACGTCTCTCCTCTCCCCTGCACTACTCCGGCTCCTGTAAACAGACTGCAAGTTCCATTAAAACAGAGACAGTGAGATATCCCCAGTCAAATGAATGAATGAAATGTATCTCAAGATCCTATTCAAAGAATCTGAAATTCCTAGCCCTTTCTGCCATGTTCTCATCATTTCCTCTCCTCCTTTCAACTCTTTTAAAATTGGGTTCCCTGATCTGAAGAATTTCTAGGAAATTCAAAGAATGGTCAGTGGGCTCTGTAGCTTTTCTAGGTCCTCATCTGCATAGAATAAAACAACAGTGGCCTGGCTGGTGTGGTTCAGTGGTTGAGAAAACTAAGAGGTCACCAGTTTGGTTCCTGGTCAGGGCACATGCCCAGATTGCGGTCTTGATCCCCAGTAGGAGGCGTGCAGGAGGCAAGCAGTTGATATTTCTCTCTCATTAATGTTTCTCTCTCTCTTTCTCCTTTCCTCTCTCTCTAAAAATCTATTAAAAAACATATTTAAAACACTGGCCTACAGGGGCACTCTCTCCTTATCACGACAGAGGGAACTTAGCCTCTTTCCTTATGGCCATCCTCATCACCTGCAAAATATTCCTAGTTTGATAGAGTATTCCATCTTTTTTTCAAAAAGTTATGCCTCTGCTTTACATCAAAGAAGGGTACCCACAAGCTGCCTCTCTAAAGTTATCCAAGTACTTTGGTCCTCTATTGAACCAAGAATACTCATCACTAGTTCAATTATGCTCATACTGGCTGTCATTTCTCCATCTTCATTTCTACCTTCATCTTTTTTCCCATTCCCACCCTCACTACCGTACAAACTCCTATCAGATGATGCTAACTGACTCTTTGCAAGCAGTAAGCTAGCTGTGCTAGGACTGGCTTTTCCTTCACAGAAACCAAGGCAACACTCAGTGACTAAGCTCTCTTAGGACTATGCATGGCTCTGTGATAGGCCCCTGCCCCTGTAGTAGAATCAAATATTTTTGAACACCTGCTCATTACCCTGTGGTTGACTCCTAGTTTCTTTTGTCTCCAAGTCCTATTCCTTATGGTACCTAAGGCAGCGAAGGGGTTTAAAACTGACTTCTAGTTACTAGGTAATTCTCATTCATCTGATCACCCTGGCCTGAGATGGCAGTCAACCATGCCTCAGTATGAGGGACTGAAGCAGTAGTCTCAACCTTTTCCCCATTTTGAAACACATGATGGGAGATGTTCAAATGTATCACACACTGCTAGGCATATGCAGTACAGAAGCAACAGTAGCTCCATCCCTCTCTCGTCCACTCAAGAAAGCATACTGCCAGCTCAGCAAGAGCACCATTATCACAGAGATGATCTTGAATTGCTCCAATTCATTGAAAAAATTATCATTAGTCAACTTTGGTATTCTAATAGTAAAAATTTAGGGGAACATGTGCCATACTTCACAATTGATTACATGTCAACATATTACAGTAATCTAGAGAAATGTGATCTGGACATTATGGTTATACCCAGCTTTTAATTAGTTGTGCAAATATGAAAGCACAAGATACTGAGATAGGAGAAAAGATGTAGCAAGAGAGAGGCCCATTTGGGTTATTTACATAGTATTCATGGCCCAGGACACGG